AGTAAGCATTGTATGTCTAATTCGATATCATCCGAACGTTTTCAAGTGTTGTTCGGCTATGTTGTTATCCGCAGGTCATCATTTCCTTTCTAGATCACATCCATTTTATAATCGAAAAAAGCGCATGACTTCTTTCAAGAAAAAGCTTTGCATATATTGAAGGTATATTTGGAAGCAGCATTTTAAGTTATATTCGCTGGTATTCAATACCTTCCGAATCATCACTTCGACTGCGCGAACTTCCCTTGTCAGGTAACCTTAGATGGCGCCCGAGCTTGCAAATAGCAGATCTTCGATACTCAAGCAATGAGTAGAAAATGCATAATTTTGAGAACAGGAACTCGAAAGATCAATAACATCACGCCAAGAACAACAACCAACTTACAGCCAGATTCGATACAAGACCAGCACAGCGGTTATCCAAGAGATCACTGATATTTAGAAACTGCTCCAGGAACTGAACCTTTGCTTCCGGCTCCCAATTAGGCAGCACTTCTAGTGCATTGCATATCTTACGATAGGTTATCGACGCAACTGCATCGCCCTTGAAAAGTTTGAACTGAAGCAGATAGATAAGAGAATTTTTGCGCCTTACCTGTAAATATAATGAGATAATCTCTCTACCAGTAGTAGCTTGTTTTGGTTTGGCATCTATGGTCTTGCCAATGGTTGTTTCTTTTCGTAATGCCTCGTCTTTTACAATATCAATTTTTGATGTCATCTTGTTCTTTTATGTAGCAGTTTTTAGATGTTTGGTCTGAAAATCGACATGTAAAACATCGTATTAGAGATAGACTTGACTCACTTGGTTTAGCGTCAGTCTTTTTTGAGAGACGCAAGCTCGTTTTCACTACGCTGTTCTCATGCTACCCAAATCTGAAACAAACCTCATCAGTTGTCGCATCAAGCAGGAAACAGGGTGATTTGTAAGACTATGATGAGTTGATGGTCCAGAAAAAATGGATATAAACATGAACTACCAAAAGTAAATATAAAAGAAGGTGATG